TGAGTGAGGGGAAAGTCCAAACACTTGTGAAGGGTCTGGTTTGGTACAGGGGTTTAACTCAGGTATTTCAGAGCGGGACGCGGCAGGTTGCTGTTTTGGATGCCTACTTAATTAGACTGAAAGAAATTTTCATACCTTGTGAAGTTGTTGAAGGCATTAACGATCATAAAGCGGTTATTATGAACCTAGACGAAAATATTTCAAGAAAAGACACTACGATAGGAACAAATGTACGGCAATACAAGAAAGTAAATGCAGAAGGTTTTTTCAGGGAACAGTACAACCGCTTTCTGAGAACAGAGGCAGGAAGGGAAGAAATATGGAGCACGTTAAAAGATATTATTAGGTTTCCATTTCGATAGTAAACTGAGGTGGAAAAGACACGTAGATTTTATTGTAGGGAAAGCCTGGATATCTCTTCACTTTGTAATGCGCACCTTAAAAAAGAGTGCAGCAAACGCGAAAGAAATCGCTTATTTATCACTTGTTCGTCCGGAAATGGAATATGGAACAATTTGTTGGGATACACACAAAATTATGCATTGTCGAAAGATTTAGAAACGATTCAGCGTAGTGCAGCTAAATTTGCTTTCAGGGTCAAGAAAATGGCAGGATGGGATTCAATCTAAAACAGACGATTAGTAGCAAGACTGCGATTTGTATAAAGCTGATAATGGTAATCAAGCTTGGAAAGAAATTAAACGGCGGCCAAGTATTCCTACATACACCAGTAGGGAGGACCATAGAGATAAGCCGCAGAGGACGGATGTCGGAATTTTTTTTCACGAATCGAATGTATTTTTTCACACACGGAATGGAGTATCTTTTGCACCCTTTCCTCGAAGCGTTGAACAATTTAGGAAATTAATTTAGGGTATTATTACCTACGTAAATGAGGGACTTAACTAACAATAGTAGGTTATAGAGCGATGAGTAAGTGATATATTGTGAAGTGAGGTGTCGTGCAGTGAAGATCAGAGAAATAAGGAAGTGGTTAAAGAGATATAGTGAAGAGACGTGAAGTGAAGTGCAGTGCAGTGTGGTCTTAATTGAACAAACATTCAGTGCGGCGTTAGATTATAGAAGTTTCTTTTTCTTAATGTAATTTAATGCTTTATGATTTAGACAGGTTTTTATATCATTATTATTTTTATTATGGTTACTATGTTATCAGCTGTTTTTATTGTTTGTATGATTATTATTGTACTATTATTATTATTATATAATTTGCATGTTAGCTATATTATCTTATTTATGTATTAGCTGCCACCAGGTTATGGCAATTTGCATTTTAAATAAATTTATCTTATCTAAGCAGAAATAATTTGATTGACGGTTAGTACCGATGTCTCCTGCAGAAAACACTAACAACACATTGTTACAATTTTCTGCAATCCAGAAAGAAATATGTAAAACCTTTTCAAAATAGTACCAATGTGATCTTCGAAGACGTCGCTAATATCTAAATTTAAATTTTCAAACACAGAAAAATTTAGAAGCTGGTCAGCCTTACTTGAAAACGGCAGTTTCAAGAGAGATGGAACTTATGCACAATGGTGGAGGTAAGTAATTTTATTTTCCATAGTTAATGTGGAACATTCATTATTGTTATGAACTACTTAACTTAATTTGTTTCTTTATTTATCTACAAATTAATTCTACGGTAATTACTTTACTTTCTTGGAAATTACGACATTTTTCAGTGTATTCTGTAGGAAAATTAGCTCTAGAACTGGTAATTTGCACCTTCAATAGTACATTTTTCTACATTTTTGATGGCAACTAATTATGTGGCAAAATATAAATAAAATTGCACCTAGGCTGTCAATAACAATAGTAATAATTGCAAATATAAATTGAATTTTATAATGAAATTTTCACATTTATAGCTAGACTTATTTGCGTTTTCATTGTTCAGAATGTTGAATGTTTAGAATTCAGAAGATTGTATTATTACTACTATAATTATTTTTATCAATGTATAATGAGCGGTATTGATGTAGTGATTTCACATTGCAGACGACCCTCGTCTTCGTGAGTTCCTGAACGGAATCATGAATAAAGACATTTCAGATTGTGATGTATTTTTGAATGGTACGATGTTCTAAATACAACTTTTGTTCCTGAAAATAGCGTTTCTTCATTCTCACTTGATGAAAGCGAAACTCCAAATTCATCTCAGATGCGAACATTTCCTGAGAGTCGGACTATCTCAGCGTCTGATTCATGTAATAGTTCAACTGTTCTTGAATCGCGGTCTTCCGAAACGGACTGCAGAAACTCAATAGAATGACGTGGTGGGTATGCGTATGAAACTAGAATAACTCATTCATATATTTGTTGATGACCAAGACATCTCCGATATAAACCTAGTGAGGCGTCCCGAAAGAAGATTAGGTACAATGCTGGGACACCACCGCCATCTCATAATCTGAGGACAAAGAACCTACTGCATCTTCTAGAAATACCAGTACCACCTTCCAAGAATGGATGCAGAATTACGAGGTTTAATGCAAATTATGCAAGAATAGGATGTTTAATTTGAAACAATTCTCTGTCTTCAAGACAATCGACAGGGCTTTAAATTGTTTCACGACTATAATATTGGAAAGCACCTATTGGAAAGGCAGAGGAAATGTATTAACATACTCAGAGGCGTCATGAGAATGTATGACTTGTGGTCATTTTGTATTTTCTCATTTTCATGTAATATGCAACACGGAAAATGCATAAATAAAACTTTACAACTCAATGTATAGTAATTCTCATTTGTAGGGACTTAAACCTAATGTCTCCTGTAGGATACACTTACGTTATGGTAGAACGCAGGGTGAAAAATGTTTTTAAATATACTTCTTGTGATCATTAAGTTATGTGCACACAAAACAATTACAAATCTCAAGAAAATAAAATCCAAAGTTACCCTCAGGACTGAGGAGTTCATAGGAAATACTTTCTGTCCCTTCATTCAGTTTTAAATGGCCAAGAGGTTTGATTCGGATCCCAACAAATTGTTCCATATCCATATCTCGACGAAGAAAGCGATTATAATTATGGTCAATTTCCTTCGCGTTTGCTGTACTCTTTTTTTAAAATGTGCATTTCAAAGTGAAGAGATTGAATTGAATTTGCCTCTTTTTACGTGGCGAGACTCGGGCCATCAGGCCCGCTCTTCCGACCACGCAAATTTCGCTACGCTCCTTTCACCAACTAGGAGAGAAAGGAGGTATTTCTTGGGCGAGAAACAGGCGATTTGAATTTAGCTCAGAGGCGTCATTTAGGCTTGAGGATCTTTTACTGCAAGTATCTACAACATGGACAGCCGGCTTTACTATCCCCTCCGAAGGAAAGGCGTACGAAGGATTTTTTTCGCCCTTAAAAAAACCCACGGCTTCGATCGGGTTTGAACCCGCCAACTTGGGTACAACAGTCCAGTACGCTAACCGTTACACCATCGCCGCCGCATCGCCGAGGTTATCTTCACATTGTGGCGAATACTGCTATCAATTACATCTGAACTAATTTATGCGTAATCATTAATAGGTATGATTTGTGTATGATAAAGTTTATTAGGTTATATAAACCTGACCATCAGTGGCCTGAGTTATGCGGAAAATAAAACGAAACTGCCGGAATCATCAGTTCTAAATGTTCCGCGCCGAGAATTAATTAATAAACTCATTATTTTTATGGAATATATCTTCAAAGAATTTGTTAGTATGTGTCACAAAACTAAAAAAAGGATTGAGAAACTTATCATTTATGTGGCTATTATTTAATGTGTTTTAACACAAGCTACTAATTCATATTGAAGTCACGCTAAAAATATGAAGTAGATCATTGAAGGACTTTTCTTAATTTTCGTAAGTCGTGGATTGTAGTTAGTGTTTATTTCTACACCGCTAAATAACGTGATTATCATTTTAAACTACTGTATTGTATGCAGGTAATAGACTGATTGAAAACAGCAAATAAAAGACTTAGATATGACACAGACTAAAAAATCAGGACTGTTGAAAACAAGTAAGGACAATGAGGACAAAATCCAAAAATCTGGACATGTCCAATAATTCAGGACGTCTGGTAATCCTATTGGTTTAAAATAATTCCCTTTCGTAATTCCCTCCATAAGAGAACATGTAGCATCATTCAACTGTTTGCGTAAATCCCTCGTAACCACGATCCTTGCGATACAGATAATATCAGCAGTATAACTAATATAATGCAGTATACATAGAGCTTTGAAGACTTTTTTGAAGGCAATAACAAGCTATACCGTATCAGTAAAAAGTAAGTTTTTTTAACATTTGCCCAGTTCAAATGTCATTGTCGACTGGACTAAGTGGTGACGTGTGCCAACAAAAGTGAGGGATCCCCTATTGACTTCCGTCACACAGTATAAAATAGCACTATGTATCAAAATAGTATCTTAACAAGGAAAATAAAATTATTTCATTTAAAATATGTGTGGTGTACTTGCTAATGAAGGTGATAAATAAAAGGAAACTAGTGGAGATAGAAAAGCATTTAGCAACTCGCATTATTTGTAGGGTGTAATTTTCAACAATCCAGATAGTTCAACGGAAATGAGATGTTTTCCACTCTTTAAAGCGTCCTCAGCTCTATAAAACAAAAACAAAAAATAGAGACAAAATGCCTTTATTTTATGCAAAGATTACGCGAAAACTAACCAATTTTGTTCAGAAAAGAACATTATTTTATTAAAATGTCTAATTTTAAGAACAGATTTTCTTAAGAAATAAATATCTACAATGTCTACTATCAATATTCTACTTTTGCAATGTTTTTTTCTGCGAATTAAAACAACTGAGTGCTTCGAAGATTAAACCATCACCATTTTTATAAACATACTTCGCTCAATTGGTCAGTTGTGTGCGATCCGAACGATATTTCTCACTGTGTCAATTTTCTAGGAGTAGTGATGTTGCACATTTTTAATCTAAAAAAACAAGTGATGATGGCATCCTCAAGAGAGGAGTCTCCTATTTTCAGTATAGTTTGTCCTGGTAACTGAAGTGGGTGGATGTAAAATATTACGGAATTGAAGTAGGAATTCGCTCCCCTGCCCTTCAGATCGAAGTGTCCAAGAATTATTTCCTTTTCACTGTGCCTTCAGTTTCACGCAGTAGTTACGGAGCAGCTTGGTGATTACAAAAAAGTTTACGAACGAATGTATGATGCTCTCCACTAGCACCTATCCAAAAAGAAAAAAACTGTATATATTACTTTTCACTTCCATACCATGCAGTGTAATTTAAAGGAGGTTTACTGAACCAGTATAGAACCAACTGAATAGAGCGCTCGGAATAGACGGACTATAAATGTTTTGAAACGTTGAGGAAATTAGGAAAATGAATTAACTCCAATTATTTATATATATTTTTTGTGTTTATTGGGTATGAATCCAAAATTTGAGAAACCCCCACATGTCCAATTTTTTTTGCCAATAATTTTATTTCATAAAATAGTCACATATTTTTGAAGCTCAACTCTTGAGAGAAATTCTTATGTGTACTTCAATTATTTTATTTTATACAAAACTATTGTACCATGAAAAGGGTTAAAGAGTCTCTTTCTAAATTAATATTTATTTCTTTACAGTTCACGATAAGAATACGTCATCTTAAATAATATAGTACAAGTAAACTCTTGAGCTACCTAATTTCAATTCAAAGACATTTTACTTTCAGCAATTATTATATACTTGATAGTTATGCCTTTGGGGTAAACAAAGAAAACATAATTTACCCCATAGGTATTTTGCCCAAGAGCTCGAACTACTACTTTGTTGTAGACTTTGCACTTATATTACGGTGAATGAGTAATATTTTATTGTTAAGAACTAGAAGAGAAGAAAATAATTGTAGAACTTTTAATTTAAGTCAAATAAAAATTTGAATAAATATAAAGTCTAAAACAAAATGTTTCATATTTTGCGTAGAAAATTCATAAAAATAACTTAATAATATTTATTTCATTTCCTAATGATAGAAGTTATTTCTTTCTTTGTTTCGAAAAGTAATATTTTTTAAAACTACTTTTTTGTAATTTTGTGATGCATATAGGAAATCACACATACCCATAAATTGGAAAATAATTTATTTTAAATCAATATTTCTCTACTCTTCCGCATATTATTTATCTATTTTATGAAATGAAAAGTAAGTACAGAAAAAACTAGCCATCTAGCTCTTATCACAGTTATTATATAGTTTTCTTGTCGCCTGAAAAATATTATTGCATGGTCATGTGGGGTTTCTCCTTTTACCCATTCCATTCATATTCATATCAAGTATGAGCTTAATTTGCAAGATACTAAGCATATAATCCTAGGAATGTTACATAATCATGAAAAATAATATTTTACGTAATTCATTTTACAACTGCAATGAAGACAGTGCCAAGATAAAAACACACAAACAAAATAATAAAGTAATAACTTAGGAGCACAAATTAATAAAGCAAATATATCCTCTTCCCAGGGATGTATTTCCATTGCAATTCGTACGAGGCGTAGCAGTCAGTTCTTCAATATCTTCTACTGGCCAGTCCATCAACGCTTTGGAGACCTATCAAAAATTCCACATCGCATGATCATCCTTAGATTTCATCTATATTTACATAATGCCGCGACCGCAGGCATCAAAATAAGGAACGAGCATAATATAATATATTTTTTTATTTTGTTTTAGCAATTTTTAGATTTTAAATGGACATGTTTTTATTTCTGATTTATTAATAAATAACTGAAATGTTTATCAACATCACTGAAATGTAGCAGAATATGAGTCCTTCGAAAGCACACTATTTCCTAACATTTCAAGGAGACATAATAATCTCACAAAATTTGGAAATTCTTACTGTCTAAATATTCAAAGACGTAAATGTGTTATCCGCAGGGAACATTTTCAGGATATTATCAAGAATCTACACTCGGTGCCTAAGAAACAGACGCAACGCTTACCGCGTCTTTGGAGACTAAAATGGCTACTGCATCTCGTTCTAAGAGTGAGAATTTAGCCAACTCGCGGGAGAAAACATATTTACAAAGATTCACGGAGCACTTGGGTCGAAAACATGATGTAGGGACCCTAAAAAGCACGGTGCGCAGTCTCTTGAGAGTAATCGGTCAGGTCGGCTGCCGACCGGGTTTGTCAGTCCACGTGCCTTCCCGAGGAGCGCCGAGAACATCCGAAACATTTCCGAAGGGCTCTTCGGCCAGTTGCCAGAGCAGCTCGATGGCGGGCCGGCGAACCTCGCTTGCCCCGTCTTCTGTGGGCTCTGGGTATGATTCGGATGGCTGCCTTCGCCGCAGCGCCTCGTCAAGCGCCACACGAACGGCAGCGGAGCGGATTTGATGCGCTTGAGCCTGTGCGGATTGTGCGGAGTGAGATTGGTGTGCGAGCATTTCGGCAGAGTTGTAATCCCCGGGCGCAAGCGGTAACTGTTGTGCCCTTATCGTCAAGTCGCAGAGGGCGTTGTTCTCCTTGTAGGTAATGCGCCCAAAAAATGCCCTTCGGAAGCACTCGGGTCGGGAATGTGAGTAATGCAGTGGTCCCTCAAATTATGGGGCGGTCTCCAAGTTAACACGGCCAGGTCCGGTCTCAGCCGACCGGATTTGTCAGGCGGCGTCCATTCCCGAGGTGTGCCGAGTGCTTCCGAAGGGCTTCCGAAGAGCTTCGAAAGTTGCGAGAGCAGCGAGGCCGGCTACGCGCATTTTTCCTTCGCTTCTTCCACCTCATCGCCGTACAGCCTGTCGACGATCTCGGGGTTGTCCAGCGCCTCAATGGGGACCTCTGGGGTAGCACAGCCGTACTTGGGGTGGCTGCCGTCGCCGTAGCGCTTCGTCACGCGCTGCACGAGGCTCTGCGGGGCGCTTTTGAACTGGTAGGCCCAGCCGATGCGCTTGAAGAAATGCAGAATGTGCAGCGTGAGGTTGGTGTCCGGCAGCTCGGCCGCCTTGTAATCCCACGGGAACACGTGGTGGTAGTTGTGCCACCCCTCTCCCATCGCCACGACGCTCACAAGGCGGTTCTCCGCAGAGGCGATGCGCCTGTGCACACACGGAACGCACATGATGAGAAAAAGAATGCCAAAAACAAAAAAAAAGACAGAATATGGAAACATAGTAAGAGACACATACGTAGCCCAATTAGTTGGAGTAAGGAAAAAAGAGTAAGGAGACATACAATTAATTTTTCTGCATTCTTTTCTTTGTTTAAAAATTACACAAATGTAATTTTTTAAAGATCTCTCATGCCTTTAATATACCTATTTCCAGCTATTTGTAAACACTATTGCATTTCTGACTGGAAGTGCTTGAAATGACGTCATATGAAGTTTTTCGAAAACTCAATAGATTTTGGGGAAAAGATGTTCTAATTTCGAATTTACAGTAGCGCTTAAATGCTATTTTCTTGAAAACGACCTCCATATTTTTTAAAGAAAATTGCCAACTAGGACGAAGTTTTATTGTTTTTTAATATTCGTAAAATAATATTTCCGTTCTACTTCTAAGATGACGAAAAAGTTTAGGCGCTACTAGTGCTCAAAACACATTATCTTACGAAAGAGTCTTTGGCCAATTAATTTCAAAACCTACGCCAATCGACACCTCATCCGTCAGCATTTTATTAGTATGCCCAAGACTCCCTTCTGATCTAGTTACGTAAATAACTATTCTTGAAGTTGTAAATATAATATATATATATATATATATATATATATATATATATATACATAATAGTATTTAGAATCATCTCAGAAACATTGAAGAAATGGAAACCATACATATCAAAATAGCTTAAAAGAATAGCTTAACAATACAGAAAGACTTATTCCACCTATTTCATTAAATGCAGGCAGACATAGGAAGGGATGGTTAATTGAAAAACAAATTGTATTAGAAACCCTTAAAAGGTATTTCCTTCAATATCGAGATAGATTCTTTTGCAGTTTCTCTATACCACGTATACAAAAAGTGAAAAGGTGCTAAGACTTCTGTATGTCGCCAGCATTGAATGGTGTCAAAAATACAATAATACAAAATTTAGACACTTAGAAATTCTTTTCCAAAATTTACTTAATAATTTGTTTAAAAATCAACCAAAAATTAAGTTGATTTTCTGTGACTAAACTACTACTTTATCAGAAATTCATCGTTTCTTCAGAGTGTACTCACTTGTCAAAAGGCTTGTTGCCAAACATGTGTGCGGCGCTGTTGACCAGCCAGGTGAAGTTGAGGCCAAACATGTACCTTGCCATGCCCAACAGCACAAAAGAGACGAAAAAGTTTTCACCCCACAGCAACACAGGCACTCCCACGGGGATCACCAAGCACATGAGGATCTTCAGCGGCAAGTGGTATCTGCAATCACACAAACATTTTTTGACAAATTGTACTTTGTGTTAATGAAGTTAGTACGAGTGACTACAGTACAATTTTAACAAAAATGTCACATATTAGAAAACATTTTAGATTCTTTATAATTAACGAAATAAATTTTCAAAATTTAGGAGTTTCGAAAACGGGAGTTTAAATTCAATAAAGATTATAATCTTCCCAAATCAGAATACGCCTTTCATTCAAGCCCAGGATTTTTACTTTTCCTCCCTACATTAGAGTATTGGAGGGGGGGGGGAAGTATTGAAAGCATATCAGTAACACTATTTCAAATTTCAGCCGTAAGATCTACGCTAAGATTATTTTCAGCTTTAATTTCGCACACACGTCAGAATTAGGTCTAGTAAGTTAGGTAGATTAAGTTGTAGTTCCAAAGATGGTTTACAATGGTGGCGAGGGGATAGGAGTAATTTTGTGCCCTAAACTTGGTATGCATGTGTGAATGTATGTGTGTATGTATTGTATGTATGTATTGTATGTGTATGTATGTGTGTGTGTATGTATGTGTGTATGTATTGTGTGTATGTATGTGTGTATGTATTGTATGTATGTATTTCATGTATGGCATGTATTGCATGTATGGGATGTATTGTATGTATTGTACGTATTGTTCATATTGTACGCATTATATCATTGATGAACTAATAATTCTTTGAAATTTACCTATAAAATGTCTTAAAATAAGAGAACACTTAAACACAAAGGTTGTAGTTTTTAAAGTTATTTAATGTCGCTTTTTAACAGCTTGGTCATATACCGACCACTGTGATGTTTAACATTGGGGTAATTGTAAGGGGAACACAAGGCAACATGAACACACACAAACATTCATGCCCGGAGCGGAATTCAACCCCGCGACTCTTCGAAGTAGCCACGGCAATTTAGCCTTAACGACCTCAGCTATCCAGGCCGGTAAAAGTTGCGGTTTATTTTCATATATATTTTCAATAAATATGATCAAAGTAATGGGATTTTATAGTATGATTATGCTTACGACGTTTTGGAGATACATATACGTATTAATCTGGAGAAGACGCAGCACCTATTTGAACATTTGATATTTCATTGTTGCTGTATTACCCCGTCTGTGGCCAGAATGTTGCACAGGTGATGCCTTAAGGAGTGAGAACCGGGAAATCGCCAATTTTCGGCATTCCCTGAAAAGTGCATATTATTACGGTAATTTGTTCACATGTTGAGAACAAATTGGCGATTATCGGTATTATTACTGAAGTCTTCAAGAAGTTTTCGGCATTCGCAAGTTTGCGCATTGTTCATTCTTGTAACAGATTCTGCCTGAAGGGATATGGTACTACGGATTATACCCTTAATATGGCTAATTAGCGAATTTCCCTGTTAATTCGCCTCTTATCCAGATTTCTTGAATAAAGCTGTATGAAGAACGAACAACGGGTTATTTCAGACAACATCGGGATACTTTTTGCCATAGGACGCTGGATAAAGTTAGTTCTTTGTCCGAATGCGAGACGCCTTCTATGGTCGCGAGGAGTATTTTGACCTAAATTTGTATTGTTAAGGTTATTTTATGTAAGTATCAAAGGCCAAAGACCTGTGTCGAACTCGTCCCTATTCGCAAATGCGATATGTTGTCAGATGTTTGCTTGCACAAAATAACCACGAAGTGTAGTAAGAATTTTGCTCCGAGAATAAATTTAAGATCCATCGTCCATGCACGTTCTATTTTTATTATTATTATTATTATTATTATTATTATTATTATCGCTAAGGTAATATATTATTTCAATAAGTAAGGTATTTAGGTATTGAATGTTCACCTACTAATGCTCAATCTCGCATGATTGTTCCTTCACCCCTCATCATCATTCTATCACGCCATAATTCATAATTCAAGACCTAACAACCTTAATAAAACTAAAACTTAATTAGTAATAATAATAATTATTATTATTACTATTTAAGTTTTAGAAAGCAAAATTGTTGTACCCTGGAATCATTATTAAGAATTTGTTACTTAAGCATCACATGAAGCTTTCCTACCTACTCTTCATTCATAGAAATGACCAGTCCGGGAAAGCAGCCGTGCTCTGAGGAGCACGTCGACAGGAAGGCAAGAAGCCGAACTCACTTGATCTGGAAGGCGGCGACGGGGTCTTGGAGAATGTCGCTCATGTCGACCACCGCGCCGCGGCGCCGCACCTCCGGGTGCTTGCGCATCATCAGCCAGCCCACGTGCGAGAAGAAGAAGCCGCGCCGCACGTCGTGCGGGTCGGCGTCCGACTCGCTGTACTTGTGGTGCACCCGGTGGTCGCGCACCCAGTCGAAGATGCTGTTCTGCAAGTGGCGCGAACCACACCCGCGGTTAGACGGTACCAAGCCTTACCAAGTACAACGAAAAGGGATCTCCCGTGAATCGGCGGGGGAATGCCGCCCCACATATCCCCACCCAAAGACGAGGGAATTAAAGGCAATGGTATGATAAAATGCAAGACATTGTTTAAAATGCTAAATACATTAATGTATTTAGATATTGAATATTTCTGTCATAAATGCCGTTCAAACGTATTGCGTTACACGTAGGGATTAATATTTAGATATTGTCTCTTCTGTTCAATACAAAAGGTGTATATTGCATCGATTTACACTTTTGAAATGTTAATATATTTATTACATAAGAAACAGACGTAATTATATTGTCAGTTAATTAAAATTTAAATTTATTCAATCGTTTTACATCATGCTGCATTCATAACATCGATTAATGATGCAAAATAAAGAATACAGCAACACGAATACTGATACATTCATTGTTAGCTTGAAGTAACACATAATTTTGTAATTGGCATAAATGACAAGAGATGACATAGTGAAATACGCTGATACACGTATGACTTGCACCTTTCGGTGAGTTGCATTACAAATACAAGTTTTTCAAATATGCGTTTCTCACCTTTGCCGCTTTTCAGAGAGACGTTGAAATACTAATAACATCCATTGTTTAGGTAACATCTACATGTTTATAATATACACACACATTTATATTCGTTTTTTATTTATAAATAGTACCACAATATAAGTAAACAATAAGCAATGTAATAGATCGTTTGTGTTGCAACTTCGAAAGCGGGTTTGTTCTTTGCCATAGTTTAAACGTCTGCCCGTGGAATTATTGACCTTTAATGCAGAAATTTGTTTAACCAACGTTACCGCAGAAGAAACCCTGAGCCGCGGGCCGCAGTACCCCCTTGCACTTACTTGGCCGGACGTGGCGAAGCACAGCATGAGCAAGACGCGCATGGGGAAAGTTGCCTTGTAGGAGCGGTGCGTCCACATGCGGTGCACGCCGCCCGTCACGCCGAAACCTCCGGCCAACCCCACGAAAACGGCTGCAACACACGTCACCGCCTCACTTGCATGCACAGCTCCACTCAATTAATAGTGCACATAGAAAAGGTACATGTACTGTTCAAAAGAAAAGCCAGGGACTAATTCAACACTTGCCCAATAGATTAAGGGAAACTGCAAGATAAAGCTAATCGAGGTGGAGATCAATGACCCAGAAACTGAATACCTGTTGCAAAAAGAATTTGTAGTGCAGTTAATGTTAGACCAGCCCAAATCAATGATGCCTTATTTTGTACGTGGCGAGGCTCAGATCATCAGGCCTGTTCTTCCGACTGGCCATGCAAATTTCGCTACGCTGCTTTCGCCATCTAGCAGCGAAAGAAGGTGACATTCGGACGACGAAACAGTCTATTAGAATTTAGCTTAGACGTTTCCTCTTGCCTTGGGAATCTTTTACATGCAGTAAATCTACAACATGGGACAACCGGATTTACTTTCCTCCGAAGGACGGCATACGAATGATTCTTCTACCTTAAAAATTCACGATTTCAATGAGATTTGAACCCGTGAACTTTAGTATAACATTCTACAACGCTGACCGTTATATTGAAGACGCTCACACTCGCCTAAAGTTCCACAAACTCTCACCAATCTTGGACTACCTTCAGGAATGGTAGTGAGCGTTTCCACAAATCATATCTTAACTGCAAAACTTGAATGTGAGTTGACGATAAATTCTGGAGTATGGCATTTGATTCAGTAATGAATTTTCAAACAAAAAAGTATGAAAGGGTTTAGATTCACTGCATCTCTCAGTTCAGGGATTAGTGTTCATAGAAGGCGCATTGTGAAGTTCCGATCTCCCTGTAGCCGTGAGTGGAGACGTGATATGTATGGTACGTTCCATTAGTAATGCGACCAAATTCACAAAAATGCATTTACTGAACAATTCGTACAATTGATCAACTAGTTTCGAAATAGCCCCCTCCTGCATCTGGAGGCAGTCCTTCGTTTGAGAGAGTAAGTTGGTGGATTACGTAATTTGGTCCATTTTACACCATCAAGAAAATAAAATTTTGAAATATATTAGAAGATAACAAATAATATTTTATTTGAACACGCTTGAATGATCTCCATTTAGATTTAAAAATTGGGAACTGACATTAAATAGCTGTTTGCGTATTCCAATTACTTTTATTTATATATCGTCAAAAAACAGCAAGCCCTGTAATGAATAGTTATCTCGAGATTTGATTCCAGTACTTGGAACCAGACAAAATTCTTTCAAGACAGTATAGTCTGCGTGTGATTTCTCGCGTGCCGGAATTACTCAAATCTCTCTTAATACACATAGTTTAATTATGAATAAATGGGTTTTGGCAACATTCAATAACAGTTTTCACTCCCATACAATATAAACTATTTTCTTTATGGAACGAACTACGGACTTGATTTGAAGGTATTATTAATTAAATGACCCAACACCAGCTTCTCTCTGTTGAATGAGAGATCAACTCGTGCACATAGAGTAGTAACTGTACTATTCGAAAACAAAGCCAGGGACTATTTCAGCACTTGCCCAATAGATTAAGGGAAACTGCAAGATAAAGCTAATCGAGGTGGAGATCAATGACGCAGAAACTGAATACCTGTTGCAAAAAGTAATTGTAGTGCAGTAAAATTAATTGTAAATAAACATTTCTAGGTTTCTTTGCACATTTTGATTTGAAAAATAAAAGTTATCAGTAGTTTTTTGAATCAGTATAACTAACAGAAAATAATATATTATGAAATGTTGTAATGATGGGTTTGATGTGTATTGTTATGAGCGAGAAGCAGTGAGCGTCGATGCTTCAGAAGAGTGACATTATAAGCATTACATCGAGTTTGATATAATATTGTATTGTTTGTGCTATAATGTGTTTCTATAACTAAAAGCATAATAGAGTCTGAACCTTTTCAGTGAATCATTACGATCCCATTTGCATATAGGTATTAGCAAATCTGAGATGGGAAGCATACAAACATTGTAAGTTTTTTAATGACCACTTAAACACTGATCTTAAATCTACCATTTACACATTCCGCATACTCACTCCACAAGCCGGTAAGTACAGTGATATCTCGGATGACGTAGAGGGTGAGCACGACGGTGAGAACGTGGAAAAGGACGATGGCGATGGTGTTCAACCAGATGATCTCTTTGCCCGTGTAGTTGTACTTGTCCACCCAGACGCGGCGCGGGGCCTCGGGCGCAGCGGGCGAGGACACCGCCGCCGGGGCGCCGTCGGCGCCTTCGCCCACGCACTCCGCTCCCTTGGACGCCGCGGTCGTGTTGGGCGCCATCTTGGCCAACGAATCGACTGCGGACACACAAATTACACACCTCCATTACTCGTCTGATACCGCGTAAGAAACGGACGCCCCGTCATTAGCTCGGCCCCTGCTGGCAAATTAACCAATTTGAATTAGTTGGTACAACTGGTCGCCCATAACGGAGAGGAATTAAATTTTTGGGGATATTCAGTTACTGTTTGGGGCGTACTAACACAGATAGCGCCTGCAATTTAGAGACATCGACACAGGAGAAACTTAATGGAAATTTCAACGACATAGTGAATTTTATTGTAAAAGTCCAGGTATTAGAAACTGCAAGAACATCAGCGAAATGGGGAATCTGTATGTGGCAGTGACCCACGAGATTGCCTATCGCATTTGAAACCGCGGTTCGAATTCCATATTATTTTGTAAGATTTGCATTATGAAGATGATATATCATTACTGAATGGCCGCACATTGTACTTTTATGCTTATTGACTGGTATTTATACGATGTCAAATTAAATTACACAATACCACGTAAATTATATCGAGTTTTCCGTGACATTATAAATTCCTAATAAAAGAGCTACTTCTCCTTTCGTTTACGAAACGACGTTTTGCAGTCACTTATTCTGAAAGCCAATCTCACTATAATAATACACACACACACACACACACACACACACACATATATATATATATACTCTCCAGTCTAGGCTTGGCGCTCAAGCTAAGCGGTGCTGTTTTTCCTACTCCCTAAATTTCAGTTTCCTAATGGTCCGAAACCTTTCTAAAATGTTCTAATTCTTTTCAAATGAATTTAGACCTTTTATCACCTAAAATGGTTTTTTGGGCGAGCGTTACGTTCCTGTTAGAAACGTAGTAATTTCCCATTCCCATCCCATTTTGTTTCCAGATTCGGTTGGCACAGCAAATTAAGCAAGGTTGTGGATCCAGTCTTCCCTATCCACCGCAAAGCACACAGATGCCCATTACCACTTGGCGTCCTTTAGTCTTACGCTGCTCTATCCCCACCCTGAACCAAAGGCGTATCCACTCTTGCGTCCTTTCCGAGAGTAATGAACGTACACCATTCGCCAACCCCATAAACTGCACTCGCATGAATTTGAGCTACTAGCGAACTTTTTTCAGCCGATGGCTGCCCAGATCTCTTGCCTTTTTAATCATCCGCAAGTCTATGAAATCAGCCGTTCATTTCAACGGTTCCCCTATCTCCGCACCATTTTCGGGAGAGCGTCTCCCAACCCTGCGCGTTCCAAAGTAGCCCGTTTAATTTTGTACGCCAGTAGCGACTGGGTCGCTTCCGCTTCCATTGACTCTAAAGCACGCTATGTTGAGTGTGTCAGGCTTTTCATCTGCTAATTTAATACAAAGTTTAATAGATTTCATTTTAAAATCTCTCCAAATTCCTATACCTTCCGACCTCTCTTTAAGATCGGCATTTGCTGCGGCATTCTAGAAACTTCCTAGAATTAATTTGAAATGAATCTGTTTCCGATACTTTCTAGGTCCGATCTATCTTTCCCACCTCCCGCAGATTTCTGCCCATAGTTCATAGCGTGCGAAGAACTAAACGATTTAACATTTGTGTCGCACACTTTTACCGGCAATTCCGGACCCCTGCGCACTGCGCAAACGACTTTTCTTTGAAGCGGCAATTTCTTCCTTTGCTGTTAGCGTCAGTATGTGATTTATTCCGATTCTCCCCATTCATGGAAAAATTTTGCACCAAGATATGAAAATGTTTTTGGA